CGACTGAGCAACTTCACTTTCACTTTCTAATGATGTTGAAACTGAAATACTTTGGCCACCTGATGCGAAGAGCTGACTCATTTGAAAAGACCCTGATGCTGGGAAAGATTGAAGGCAGGAGGAGAAGGGGACAACAGAGAATGAAATGGTTGGATGGCATCACCGACTCAGTGGGCATGAGTTTGGGTAAACTCCAGGAGTTGGTAATGGACAGGGAGGCCTGGCGTGCTGCAGTCCATGGGGTCGCAAAGAGTCAGACACAGCTGAGCAACTAAACTGAACTGAGTATAAAATAATTGTGTAAATGCACTTTTAAAAACAGTGATGCTGCTTTTTTAAAAAAATAGAAGCTTGGAAACATAAGCAAGAAACAAGATATTATAAATAATGACCAAACATTTGGAAGAGGACTAAGTAGAACTTCTAAATTAGAAGTATAATTAATGTTAAAAGTTAGGTTATTAGGTTAAAGAAAAGATGAGACATAGCTGAAGAGAGAATTTGTGAAGGTGAATATAAAAAGAAATTACATAGAATGCAACCCACAAAGAGATGGAAAGCATTTGAGTGGTTAGGAGACATGGAGAAGAACATATTGGGACCATCCATTTTTCAGAAGACAACTGGCCAAATTTGTTAAAATGAAAATGATGTAGCTTTAATACTGGAGTAGACTTTAAAGCAACATACATTACTTGAGATAAAACTTCATAATCATAAAAAGTTCAATTCAGTTTTATTTAGATATAATAATTCTAATTGTGTATGTATCAGCATACTTTCAAAATACAGAGAATAAAAATTAACAGAAATACAACTAATGAGACAAATCTACAATCAGAAGCATTTTAACTTTTCTTTAACTGATAGAAAAAATGGCCCCTTAAACCAATAAATATTTAGATTCAAACAAAAGATTAATAAATTACTTAATAGATAGGTAAGGTGGTCTGGTACTCCCATCTCTTTAAGTATTTCCCACAGTTTATTGTGATCCATGCAGCCTTTAGCACAGTCATTAGATCCACGAAGCCTTTAGCATTGTCAATGAAGTGGAAGTAGAATTCTCTTGCTTTTTCCGTAATCCAGTGAATGATGGCAATTTGATCTCTTCCTCGGCCTTTTCTAAATCCAGCTTTTGTACATCTGGAAGTTCTCAGTTCATGTACTGCTGAAGCCTAGCTTGAAAGATTTTGAGTGTAACCTTGCTAACATGTGAAATGAACATAATCATATGGTAGTTTGAACAGTCTTTGGCATTGCCTTTCTTTGGGATTGGAAAGAAAACTGATTTTTTTCCAGTCCTGTGGCACTGCTGAGTTTTCCAAATTTACCAACATATTCAGTGGAGCACTTAAACAACATCATCTTTTAGGATTTTAAATAGCTCAGCTGGAATTCCATCTCTGCTGGCTTTGTTCTTAGTAGTGCTTCCTAAGGCCCACTTGACTTCACATTCCAGGATGTCCGGCTCTAGATGAGTGGCACACTATTGTGATTATCTGGGTCATTAAGACCTTTTTTGTTCAGTTCTTCTGTGTGTTCTTGCCACCTCTTCTTAATATCTTCTGCTTCTGTTAGATCCTTACCATTTCTGTCCTTTATCATGCCCATCCTTGCATGAAATGTTCCCTTGATATCTCCAGTTTTCCTGAAGAGATCTCTGATCTTTCCCGTTCTGTTTTTCCTCTGTTTATTTGCATTGTTTATTTAAGAAGGCCTTCTTTTTTCTTTTTGCTGTTTTCTAGAACTCTGTATTCCTTGAGGCATATCTTTCCCTCTTCCCTTCGCCTTTCCCTTCTCTTCTTCCCTCAGCTATTTGTAAAGCCTCCTCAGGAAACCACTTTTCAGTCTTGCATTTCTTTTTCTTTGGGATGGTGTTGGTCACCATCTCCTGTTCAGTGTTACAAACTTCCATCCATAGTTCTTCAGACACTCTGTACCAGATCTAGTCCCTTGACTATTGGTCACTTCCACTGTATAGTCATAAGGGATTTGATTTAGGTCGTTCTTGAATGACCCAGTGGTTTTCCTTACTTTCTTCAATTTAAGTGTAAATTTTGCAATAAGGAGTTCATGATCTGAGCCATAGTCAGCTCCAGGTCTTGTTTTTGCTGACTGTATAGAGCTTCTCCATCTTTGGCTGCAAAGAGCATAATCAGTCTGATTTTGATATTGACCACCTGGTGATGTCCGTATGTAGAGCCGTCTCTTGGGTTGTTGGAAGAGGGTGTTTGCTATGACCAAGTGCATTCTCTTGACAAGACTCTATTAGCTTTTGCTCTGCTTCATTTTGTAAACTGCAACTTAGCATATCACAGCAAAAATCTGCAAAGTACACATTCTTTTCAGTCATATAAACATTTTAAAGTCACTTAAGAAAAATTAGGCCACAAATTTTTTGTCGACAATTTTAAAAAAATTGAAATCATACAGAGTATGTTCTTTGTATACAGTAGGATTTAACCAGAAGTCAATAATGATAACCAGAGGATAAATAATCTTACAAAGATACTGTCAGATCAGACACCAAGAATAGAAAGAAATCAGACTCAAAAAATCCATATTGTATGGTTTCATTACATCAGAAATTCACATATGAGGCAAAATTAGACTATAGCATTCATGGCTACATGTTAAGGCAAAAAGTGAACAAGGACAAATAAGAAAGTGATTACCATAAAAGGGTAATAATTGCCTTCAAGGGGTAGAGGGCTTGTTTAGGCCATCGTAGTATAACAAGTTCCTCCTTGTTTTGTCATCAAAAATACATCCATTGTACTTAAGTGCTTATTCTTTCAGATGAACTTTAAACAGTGTTGTCAAATTCTCTAGAAAGCATTTGGAATTGTGTTAAGTTTATGGATTTCTTCTGAAATTATTTGCATCTTTGAAATAGTAAGCCTTCCCATCTAGGGATATGGTATGTGTTTCCAATAACTCAGTTTTGTTTCATTGTTTTTTAAGATTCTTTAGAAAAATTGTAGAGTTTTTCTCATAAAGTCCATGTTTCTTGTTAAGTACATTCCTAAGTATTTCATTAATTTTGCTCCTAATGTAAATGAGGTCCCCCGCTGCCCCCACCATGTTTTCCAATAGGTATTACTAATATGTGGGAAAGCTAAAGTTTTTTTTAAACTGCCTGTCTTATTATTTTTAATTCCTGTAGTTTATCTTAAAATAATATTTGTTGTGTTTTTGTTGTGGGGTGAGTATTAATAGTTACTTTATAATAACTTTCTCATTTGCTTACTGTTTCTCAATAGTTGAGAATGTGAGGCTCAGCAAAGGATAAAGAGTTTGTTCAAGGTCATGTGGCTAAATACTGGTTGGAGCTGGGGTTTTAATCCTGTTATGTGTAACTGAAAAACTACCATGGGATTATACTTTCCCTGATTAATTTAATTCAACAACAAATTATATAAAGATGTTGTGTTATGGAGATGAATTAGATAATGAATGTAAAATCGCCAGGAATGTAAATGAACTATCCAAATTAATGTAGCAGTTTCACTGTGAAATTAAAGGTAAGAGATTCATTGGAGAATAGTTGAGATCTGGCTTGCCTTTGAGCAGTTTAGAAGTCATAGAGCTCTCTCGTTTATAAAATTTTTGAGATGTCCTCTGAATATTTATGTCTGATACGTCATGAACCAGATGTCTTCCCAGTGGATTTTTTTTAATATTAAAAGTGGCATTTAGTAAGCCATCTAAATGATAGTGATAGTGGATGCATTTAAGGTTTCTTTGCAGTGATGACCTTCAGCAGACTAGTTCTTACAACAGAAGGATTGGAAAGTGTTCCCCCTTACGTTCAACACCAGTTTTATTTTGTACCTTTGAAGGTGCCATTCTATTTGGGTGTTGAATATCTAGCAGTGAATAAAAAAAAGACAAGTTATAAACAAGCATATTAGGTACAGTTGACCCTTGAACCACGTGGAAGTTATATTCAACCCCCTAGATACATGGTCCCTCTGCATCCATGAATTCAGCCAAGCACAGATCATGTGTTAAGTACTGCAGTATTTAGCACTGGAAAAAACCCTCCTATAAATGAACCCATGCAGTTCGAGCTGGTGTTGCTCAAGGGTCAGCCGTGTATATCTTGAGAGAAGCGCTATGAAGAAATGGTTTGTGAGTGGGTCCGGCAGGCAAGGCAGCGTACAATAGGCCCTGAGGTGAAGCATGTCGTAAGGAGCCTGCCGGAGGCCAGTGTTGCCGGAGGACCGGGTGAGGCGCAAGTTGGAGCATCTGAGGTTGGCTCAGTGGCAAGGCCTGTAACATGCAGGACCATGGAGACCATAAGAAGGAATTGGATTTTATTCAGAGAGCCGTGGGGAGATTTCCAAGAAGGGTACCAACTGGGACCAGTGTAAGATATTAAGACACTGTGGTGAGAAGACCAGGCGGAAAGCTGATGCTGCAGACCAGGGTTTCGCAGCTATGGACTCTTGACATTCAGGGCTGGCTGACCCTGCCTGGGTGGCTATTCTGTATCTTCACACAGCATCTCTGGCCTCTACCCACTAGGTAGCGGCAGAGAGTAGCAGCCGTCCTGTCACTTTCCAAGTTGTGACCACCACAGTGTCTGCAGACATTTCCACGAGTCCCTCGGGGGATGCAGTATTCCTCAGTTGTGAGCCTCTGCTCATCACCAGAGGGAATGAAGACTCGGGGTGGGGTGATGGAGTGGAGGTAGAGAGCCGTGCTTAGATTGAGACCCACTTGGGTAGAAGAGGATGTGCTGGATTACAGGGATTCAGACAGATTCCTTGGACAGAGAATTCTCCACTCATCTTCATTGACAGGTTTTTCTGGAAAAGCTTCCTTTGCGGTTTTTGGAAACCTTAATTAATTCACCCACAGTCATCCTCGCTCTATTTCATGCCTTAGATCTTCCAAACACTGTGTCTGCTTTGTGTCTGTTCCCTCCCTACACGCAAACCACACCCTCTCAAACCCCAGAGAGGTGACGGAGGTGCTTGGTCTCTCACCAGGAATCCTGAAGTGGGTGAAGCTGATCGACAACTTCGAAGGGGAGTATGACTACGTGACCAACGAGGGCACCGTTTTCACCTTCAAGACAAACCGCCATTCTCCGAACTACCGCCTGATCAACATTGACTTCACGGACCCCGAGGAGTCCAGGTGGAAGGTGCTGGTTCCTGAGCACGAGAAAGATGTCTTAGGTAAGAGTCCGTGCCGCTTGGGGGCTGTGCTTTTGTTTCTGGTAAGAATGTCAAGACACTGGTGTATGTCTCATTCTTGTAACCGGTTACAAGGTAAAGAACCTTCAACTTATGATCCTGAGAAGTCTTAATAGAGCAGCCAAATGTTTATTACCATGTGACAGTTTATAATTAGCACAATATTGTGTGGGATCTTCATAAAAATTGTGAAGGTATGAATCCAGACCTTCAAAGGTGGAGCTTTTTTTTATTAAATATCGGCTGTCTTTGTGTAGCTATTATCTGATAATAAGTGCTAATATTAAAATTTTTTTTAAACTAGTTGGATTCAGAATCCTTAGTTTTCAGCTTTGGAACAACCCTTGGCTGTTCGTTTCATACCTATTGTAGATATTAGGCTGGATTTATAGTGCTCTTACCAGAGAGAAGAGAGATTGTTGTCAGATTTAATTGAGATCCATTGCACTTGCTGCTGTGTACACATGCTGCAATAACGTCTTAAGAGCATCCCGTCTGAGTCCATCATGTTTCACAGTGCCTTTAAGTTCCATTTATTCATTTTCTCAGTGATTTTCCAAAAATGATGTATTGCTTTATAAGTTACCCATTGCCTGAAAGCTGGATTTGACTTAAAATGAGACTCACTAATTTTGCTACAGTTTTTGTCACAAAAGGAGTCGAATACCTTCAAGCTAGGGAAGAGTTTGCTTGTGGAGGTGAACTTCTGCTGATGGGTTGAATAGGAATAAAATCTAGGGCCATCCCAAGGAAAGCTATAAGGTGTATAATCAGGAAAATAATTCTTCGTGAAAGCGGCAGAGTGGCCCTGTGTCAGACAACGCAGTCCTGACGGGTTTTTCAGTGACTTGAAGCACATATATTGGAGTCAGATTCAGGTGCACATCCTGGAAAACTAAGGACCCTTCCTCCCTGGCTCAATGCAGCATTCTCTGTGCCTGCGGATAGTTCAGTCTGGCCTGGCTTGTAGAGCCGGAGGTGGGCACACAATTACAGCCGAGTCTCAGGAAGTGCTTCACTCATGCGCTCCGCTCTGCCCCTGGACACCCGACTCACCCATCCACCCGCTTCTGTACGGAGGCCTCTTACATCTCGGGCAGTCCAATCGGACAGGACCCAAGACAGCCCTGTCCATGCCCTTACCTGCTCAGCCCCTATCTTCAGCCCAGGACCGCAGCTCATCCCAGGCTCTTCTCTGTCCAAAACTGCTTCTCAGCTTGGATTAGGCATCAGTGCTCTATCTCTCTCAGCTGAATTCTCCTGGTGGGGAGGGGACTGAACAACAGGATGGGGGCTCTTTCCAGGGAAGCCTGTTCATCTGTCTCCTCAAAACCTTCTGTTCACTCTCTGGACCTCATATGTTGGATGAAGGACCCGAGAATCTTAGAACAGGTTTCCTGCCTTCTCCGTTAACATCTTCATGTGAGGAAACGGGTTTGCAGCAAGTTTGGCTTCTGTGCAAGCTGAGACAGAATGTCCCCTCCAGGGGTGGTAGGAGCCAGCTCTTGGTGAGCACTTCTTATTTCCACCAGAGGGCCCCTTGGGCCTTGGTGGGTCCAAAGGAGACTTGGTGGCACAAGTCTTCGTGAAGAGTGCCCTGGGTGCTTTTCAGGTGAAGGTCAGGTTGGAACAGCGATTCTCTTGTATGGAACCATCAGAAATGCAAATATTTCCCAAGAAATGTGAATTTTCTGCCTTTTAAAGCCCCCCATCCCCCAAAGCAGTTTTAACTATACCTTAAGGTGGCAATCCTGTCTCACCTGCAGATCTAATGAAATGCAAATCAATGCTCGGAGATTTGTGGGAGCAGTGATGTATTTTTATAACCTTCCCTCTGGAAGGTTATAAGTTCTTTACACTGGAAAGGGGAAACCTTCAATATTCACCAGAACTCATCAATTCAAAGAGAAGCACAGGTAAATTTGCAATATATCATTAGCACAGAACGCCCTGCTGAGAATAAAAACTAGAGATGAATCATAAGGTACAGCTGTTAAGTCACAGCTTTTATTAACGACAGTCTACAAATCACCTTGTCCTTTTCTTATTCCCTTTGTCTGTTTTAGAATCCTGATGTACTCATAGTTAACTCAGATTGATTATTTTTTGACAGAAATAATTTACTTCCTTCCCCCCACCTTTCTTTGAAACAGTAAAGCCACATGAAATACATTGCTTGATTGAAGTACTTTAAAAAAATCATATTGGCGGATGAGCAAATGACTTGTAGGTGTAATAGTTCTTTTTTACATCCTGACTTGAGAAGCTTGCAGTAGGAATTAAACAACCTGACAAGACTGGGGCCCCTGGTGATCCTCAGAGCTCCCTCTGGCCCGTGTCTTGTTGAGCATTGATAATGTTATGTGTGTGAGCTCCTTGTTTCCTGGGTTATAAAAATAAGCGGCATTAAAAGCCCCTTGCCCTGCTCCATACCATGAAAACCAAGAAAGGCTCATCTTTTCCACATTCCTGAGCTGTTCCCTGCAGCCCTGTGCTGGCTTGCATTTGCCACAGCCTCTCTCTGGATGGCCTGTCTCCATCGCTGGCCGATCTCGTCCAGAGCACCATGGATTGCGCTGAGGCCTGCCCGCACCACTTCCTCCTCTCCTCCTCTGCCCGCTTACCTCCGCGCTCCCAGCTCCATCACCGACAGCAAGCACTGAAGCTGCGGCCTGGGCACGGGGATGGGGGGTGGACCTCCTGTCTCTGCCTCCCTCCCAGAGCCCCCTCCTCACCGCGGCCTGGGGACTCTTCCTGGAGATGCCCTTCGTTTCTTGGCCAGCCTTCTCCAGACTGTATCCCCAGCCCCGTGTGGTGCTCTGCTTGGCTTCTTGGGGATCTGGTCTCTCCTCCATCCTCCAAGTACACTGTTGTTCTCTGGTCAGCCATGGGATGCATACATCCGTCACTGTCGTCACCCTTTGTGTATGTCACCCTTTTGTCCAGCAGTAGCTCTGCAGTAATGACCGAGTCAGAACTCAAGTCCCCCGACCCCGCTCACCGAACCCCCAGCAGACCTCCCACCACCAACCCCACTCACCCCCAAAAGGGACAATGGTTTTCTTCTTGAAAATGGGCCTCCCACTCATTCTCTTTCCCAGTCTTCCTCCCTTCCTGCTTCATTCCTGGTTCATTCATATTCCTTTTCTCTCTTATCTCCGGTTCTGACCTTGGTTCTTTGAGTTGTGTTTTCCCACCTTCTCGCCCAACAGAGAGCTGCCCTGCCCCTAACACCATCCAGGCCACCCCCACCTTCACTGTCCTCCAGATGTAACTCAGCACTTGCTCAAGGGCTCCCACTTATTTTGAATCTCAACCAGCCACTCACTCACCTTTGTTTACATGTTAATACTTATAGTTTTACATGATTGTGTCTCAGGGGCAGAAGTGACCTCATCTCCTTGCTGGTCTGTCCAGCACCTTGCAGGGTGCCAAGCACATGCCAAGCAAGGATTTGGTACGTTCTTCTTGAATAAACAATCTTGGCAGATGAGGAGCATGGTTCAGGTTTTGTTGTTTTCCATCTGTACGTCCTATAATATGATACTGGACACAAAATAGGGCAGCAGGGTCACTTGTATTACACATGTTATTGAGACCATCAAAGACTCCTGGTCCCAGGTGGAGAATATGTTATTACCTCTGGACCTGACATTGGCAATGATTTATTAGAGGGATGTGCCGAAAACACAACGAATGATTAAAGCCAATTATAAACTCACTCGGCCAGTCTCAGGGCCACAGACCACAGTGTAGAGCCCAGGACTGTCGTTCAGTGAAGTGAGTATGTTTTTGGCGAATTTTCAAAGCCACACTGGGTTTTGTGTGCCCTTATCTTTTCAGAGTGGGTAGCCTGCGTCAGGTCCAGCTTCTTGGTGCTGTGCTACCTGCATGATGTGAAGAACACCCTGCAACTTCACGACCTGGCCACTGGTGCTCTCCTCAAGACCTTCCCCCTGGAGGTCGGCAGCGTCGTGGGCTACAGCGGTCAGAAGAAGGACACCGAAATCTTCTATCAGTTTACTTCCTTTCTATCTCCAGGTGAGAGTCTTTCCACCAACACGGTCCAGCTTAAAAATCGCACTCCCGCTTGGGTTTCTTTTGATAAACTGAAATATGCCATGTTATGTTGAAAATCACATGTGCTATGTTACAGCCAGAATTACTTAATATAAACTGGTAAAACGGACGCTCAGAACAAAGGGAAACATGAACACCTAAAACTGCACTCATTAATCTTATATCCTGAGTCTCTTTTCTGGGGACAGGACCAGCTGTTGCTCTAGGTTGATTTGAAAAATCGGTATGAACAAGTAAAACCGTAGATACAGCCTTTAGTCTATATATATCAGAACACACACAGTACAGATAACTAAAAGTGTTAAATAAAAATCTGTGGTCACATCTGACATTTAAAAGCTGTTTTAAAACTGAGACTACATTCTGCTTTTGTTAAGCTGGATTAAAATAAAATTCTAAAAGTATAGTCTTACATCATATGGAGGGGGGTAAAAAAAACAACTTGGTACTTGGTTCTAGTAGAAAAGGAAGAAAACATTTGCAATTTTGTGGCATCAGTTAATTTTCCCCAAAGTAAACATAACTCTCTTTATACCTTTTTTTTTTTTTTTTTTTTTTTTTTAGGTTTTTCACACTCACTCTGCTTGTTTGGGTTTTTTCCTGTTTCTGCACTTGGCTGCAATCAGCATTTCTGTTACAGCCAAAGCTTAACACCCTGACTTGTCCCAGGAGCCTGGCCAGTTGGCAATTTGCAGTTGACTGGGCAGACCTTATCCTGAAAGCAATCTGGCTGAAGAAATGTCTGCACGTTCCTTATTTGTTTTTCAAGCTCCTTCATCGTCCTTTTTGTCCTAGCCAGTTTTATTGCGGTTGTTTGGTTCTTGGCAAATAAAGCAGATGTCGGGGAGAGCTGAGCAGGAGTAGAAACGACTTTGTCCTCCTCCCAGGGTTTGGCAGATGACAATGATGGCTAATCCATTTTTCTCTGTGTGCCTCAGAGTCACAGAACAGGCAGTCTTTAAGGAATCTTAACCGTCATGGCAGGTTGTTGTCAGGGTTATTAAATCAAAAGAATAATGTTCTGTACATAGGTCTGATGGTCCATCTGGGACATCTAGCAACCTTTACCCACCCACGCACCTTTCAGAGGATCTCACATAGATGTGGAAACTGGGGCCAGGAGCCCTGAACTGACAGGTCAAGAACCTCACGTCAGGGTGTCCTGCTCCTCCCAAAGCCTGACAGTGGCAGCCAGTGGACAGGAACCAAGGAAAATTGTTTTCCTCCTCTTAGCCCAGTGCTGCGGGGTCTGCACTGTTTGCCTCAACTTACACTGGTTCCAGAAATTGAACTTTGGAAAACCTCATAGCCTTTCAACAGTTTTAATGGATAAAGAGCAACAAGGAGAACAGAGCAAGGCTGGCTCACCTGCTCTTCATAAAAGCCAGAGTCTCCAGAGGCCTGTAAACCACCTTCCGTGACCCCATGTGGCCATTTATTTCAGGGACAAGTTCATCATTACCCGAAGATGAAAGGGCTCATTGTCCTAGCATAAAATGATGGGTTCTGTGCCAAGCAGTGAAATATTATCTGTGACTCTGGCCGTGAAGTCTGGAAAGAGAAGTGTGTTCCTGATTCTGTACCAGCAGGCAGCTCCTGAGCAAGCTTTATTCGTCACTGCAATGCTTTCTTCTTCTCCTTCGCCTTTTCCTAATTCGTTTTGCCTCCAGCCTTTTCTTTTCTCTCCTTAATGTAATCTGATACCTAAAATCAGAGAACAGGGCTTCCAGGCTCAGGCCTTCTGAACCAAATGTAAAAATCAATAATTAAACTAGATTCCCTGAAAGCAGGAGATGGTCAGCGTGTACATATGTACACATCCATATACATCTGCTTTTCAAAGGCGGTCTTGCACTGCTCTCCAAAGGCTGACTGTCCACTGCTGCAGTAAACAGCAGGCACTAAATTATAAATAAAGCTCCAGGGCCAAAAGTACCTGCTGCGCCAACTGCTGTGGACACCTGATATATCTGGCAGATGTACACCTGCTGACTTTGCTTCCCATGGAAGTACATGGAGAAGACATGTCTTGAGCAAAGCCATTTGGAAGAAAATAGGACCACATTGTAATGTGAATCCCTATAGCCAATGATGTTTTGTGTCCTTGTCTCAATTGGTTTGCTAAATAGAAGAATCGGGTATCGGATTGGAGAAAACATCCTAGAATCATGAATCAGAGAAGACTGGTTAGGTGATCTCTAGGGAATAATTTCAAAGTTTAAGGGCAAAAGAGAACCGAATTCGGAAGTTCCTTAAGACCGGAGGAGATGTCTTGGACTTGAGGAGATGGGACTCCAGCTATTCTAGCAAAAGGAAAGAGGGAGGGGCAATCAGTTCAGATATCCCTGCTATAATTGGAAGTAAATGTAAGGAGGTGAAAGAGATGGGAGTTAAAAGGAAGGGGCAATTCTAGGAGAATTGCGACTGCACTTGGAGGAAAACAGGCAGCCAGGGCAGTTTGGAGTGCGATGCACTTGTTCCCTGTGGCTCCAACCACTGAGTGGTTGAGCCGAGTGATGTTTTACTTGTGGAAACTGGGAGGGTTGTCTGAGGCTCACTCCAGACTTCCATGTGTAGTAATAATCCAGTACAACCATCCGGTTGCATGGTTCTGAGAAACAGGGAGAAGAAATCAAAGAACCTTTCCCAGACTCTTTGGGAAAAGCATAAAAATGCTATAAGAGCAGTTTTAGGTCCATAGAAAATTGAAGGAAGGGGACAGAGATTTCCTGTGTACTCCCTGTCCCTACACGTGCAGTGCCTCCCCTGTTACCAGCATCCCCTCCTCCAGTGGTATAGTTGATGAACCTGCATTGACACATCATAATTGCTCAAAGTCCATAACTTACCTTAGGACTTTCTCTTGGTGGTGTTCATTCTGAGTTTGGATAAATGTGTGATGGCTTGTATCCATCAGTATATGTTTTTATGGTATCATGCAGAGTAATTTCAGTACCCTAAAAAGTCTGTGCACTCTGTCCTTTTCATCCCTTCTCCCCCTAGCCCCTGGCAGTCAATGATCTTTTTACTGTCTCCAGAGTGACCTATAGTTGGAATCATATTAATAGATTACATAGACTTTTTGGATTGGCTCCTTCACTTAGTAATATGCATTTAAGGTTGTTGCATGGCTTAGTGGCTTATTTATTTTTTGCTATTATTATTTGCTTATTTATTTTTTGTAATACTCCATTGTCTGGATGTTCCACCATTTACTTACGCATTCACCTTCTGAAGGACATCTTGGTTGCCTCCAACTTTTGGCAGTCATGAATAAAACTGCTCTGAATATCTGCATACAGGTTCTTGTGTGGACACATTTTCAACTTGTTTGGATAAATGACCAAAGAGTGCAAAAACATTTTAAGAGACTTGTTTTTGTTTGAGTTTTTAAAATTTTAATATCCTTAAAACCTGACCTGTAATTGGATGAAACAGTGTCTACATGGGTCATCTTTTGCCTTTTCTTTGCATATCCAGTTTTCCAGACTCCTCTGTTGATTCTTTTGCAGGTTCTCCTAGAATTGTCCCTTCCTTTTAACCCCCATCTCTTTCACCTCCTTACATTTATTTCCAGTTATAGCAGGAATATTTGAACTGATTGCCCCTCCCTCTTTCCTTTTGCTAGAATAGCCTTGTTAAAGCACTGTTTTCATCAGGAGTCCCATTTCCTCAAGTCCAAGACGTCTCCTCTGGTCTTAAGGAACTTCCAAATTCAGTTCTCTTTTGCCGTTAAACTTTGAAATTATTCCCTAGAGATCACCTAACCAGTCTTCTCTGATTCATGACTCTAGGATGTTTTCTCCAATCTGATACCCAATTCTTATGCTTAGCAAACCAATTGAGACAAGGACACAAAACATCATTAGGCTATAGGGACTCACATTACAACATGAATCTGCAGTGGGCTCACCTGGACTGACCCAGATGGATCTGAAAATAGAAAATATCCATCAAGTAAATTAAGCACTGGTACCTTTAGGTATAACGCAGCCCCCTCCAAAGTGCCACTCCTGCCCCAAACAGAAGAACAGAGATCAGACACTTGTTACCCTTTCTCCCAACAGGAGCCAGCCCACGTTGTATAATTTCATTCTTCTGCTAGAGGCTTTGATGTCTCAATTTTTCTAGATAAACAGGCATTTAGAGTGTGTTTCCTACTCACTGTCTTTCACTTAAGAAATTTCATTCTAGTAGTTTGGTGACTTATCTCAGGGCACTGCCCCAGGAACTGGTTGGTGGTTAGAGCTGGGAATCCTGGCTCCCCATCCTTTGTGATCCACTATAGCTCAGGTAACACTGATGCTGGGGTGAGTCCAGGGCTTAAATGGCTCATGCTTGTTCTGCAATCTCATTGTAATTGTCTTGTTGTTTGGGTTTTTTTTTTGAGGATGTAGATGCTTTTTGTGTTTTGAGGAAGTGGGGCAGGTACTAACAAAGAAGCTTTTCAAAAATTAACATACATGTGAAGATAGCCTTTGCCCTCAAGACTACATTTATCTGGGCAAGTACAGTACTCAATGTGTCTGATAATTTAGAATGTATGCCCGGAGGGTAGTCTGAAAATATTTTATGTATAAGGATATATTCCAACAAATATCCAAATACAGCTTCAACTAAGAAAGCCAGTACTTCAGTCCTATTACACATCTCCCCACTGTCAATGTTAATCATATATTGTATGATATATTATAAACCTTAAAATAATTTCTAAGCATGGGAATTGCGATAACATCCATGGGGATTAACAGTCCTGTTGTTAAAGTATCTAAACATATTGCTCTTTGCCAGTGGGGAGCAGAGTACTGTTTCTCAGCTGTTAGTGAAGTTCATACATACACAGAGGAGTTGGAAAGAAAGCACGCTGCCATTTTAACACATGATCAATCAGTTTGAATGTACCCTGTGGGAGTAACTGCTTAGTTTCTGGTTTTGCAGCAAGTATCAGGCTCTCTAAATTGATTTTTCATATACCGACAGTGTATGTTTAAAGTATTATGTGGGAGGGCTGTTTCCACACCAGCCACTCTGGATGACTAATTCTGTTTCATAAACGATAGCAATGTCATTGTTTTCAAACAGCAATGATTTATCTTACTGATCGTTTCTTTGACTTAGTTCTTTTTTGTTGTGGTTAAGTTTTATTTATTTTGTGTTTTTGGCTGTGGTGGGTCTTCGTTGCTGCACCTGGGCTTTCTCTCATTATGGAGAATGGGGGCCACTCTCCAGTTGCAGTGTGCAGGCTTCTTGTTGCAGAGGACAGGCCCTGGGGTGTGCAGGCTTCAGTAGCTGCAGCGTGTGGGCTCAGTAGTTGAGGCGCACGGGCTTAGTTGCTCCACGGCATGTGGGATCCTCCCGGATCAGGGATCAAACCTATGTCCCTGGCATTGCAAGGTGAATTTTTATCCCCTGGACTACCAGGGAAGCCCCTTTGATTTAGATATTAAATTTTGGAATGTAGTAGCATTAAATTAAGGAAATGGGATTTTAATTCGTGGTTAAAATAGCTAAAAGTTTGTTGTGTATTCATCAATGTGTGTTGTGCACAGTTACTTGGATCGTCAGAATTTTAAGGCACCTCTGAAAGACCCCCCTGAAAGGCTGTCTTTGGTCCCTGATTGCTGTCCACGTGTGTGTGCACAGAGGGGTGGGTGTCAGCAAGCAATAGCCCCAGAGCTCCCATCAAGGGACCCCTGATTGGCTCTTGACTTTGGGCACATCATTTGAGTTTTCCGTCTTAATCACGCTCAGGTGAAATAACCCTGCATAAAGTGTCCCATCTTCTTTGACCTGTATTCCTAAGTGACCTGGCGTCGGGAAAGACCTGTTATGTTTCTGCAGTTAGGTTTTACCTCTGCTCTTAGTCCTGGAATGCATTAGAATCTTCTAAAATGATACAGAGGTGACTGTTGTAAAAAAGAAGACCACGATGGCAATGATGAAGTGTGAACACGTATGTAGCATCACACAGTCCCCATGCCAGACTGGTCTGAGGTCTCTTTCTGCAGTGACCTTAAACAGCACCTGCTGACTGTGCTTTGTGATCCTTGCCCCTCTTGTATCTGGTGTGTTTATGGACTGAACTAAGACTCCCATTTCCTCCTAGGTATCATTTATCACTGTGATCTGACCAAAGAGGAACTGGAGCCCAGAGTCTTCCGAGAGGTGACTGTGAAAGGAATCGACGCTTCCGATTACCAGACAGTCCAGGTAGGGGGTATTTTATCTCGACAATGTGAGTTAAAAAATCTGACTTTCAGGCCAGGCTGTGCACACCCCAGTTTGTCAGCAGCTGTGGAGGTGATCCACAGCAGCACGGGCCACAGATACTTGGGAACACATGCTGCTTCTGGCCAGTGAGCCCAGCGAGGTCCCTGCCCTCTTGGAGTTTACAGATTCTGCCTCTCTAGACAGGAAGCCAGAGTCCCTTGTCTGGGGGATCAAAGCAATACAGTTCGTCTGCTTGCTTGAGAGTGGATTGTTTTCTGGCTCAGGTCTCGTGATATGATAAGTAATAACGTAGATATTTTTTCTCTACATGAAGTATTCACTCAAGTGCTAGAAGGCAGTCTGCAGTCTGAAGTTCGTCTGTATGTCTGCCTGGCTCAGGGTGAGCGCTCAGTAAAATATTAGGATGGATGAATTAACTGTTTTAATTTGTCATGCGTAGCAAACTTAGTCTCTGGTCACCATCCTTTCAGGTTAAGAATCTCCATTTTTTTGTTTTCTCAGTGACCCACAGGTACTGAGTCTCCCAGAAATCAAATCCCTCATTGTCAAATGATGCGCAATGGCTCTGTTCCTTTGCATGACAGGTCACCTGACAGGTACCAGGTGTTCTTTCAGGTCTGTCCTACCAAGGGGCCTGGACCACAGAGACCCAGGTTAGGATTCAGAGTGTTGTTTCCAAAGGAAAGTTAGAAAAAAAGATCACTAGATACCCTGGAATGTTTCTGTGAAACTAGAGCATCATTTTAACATGGTGAATTGCTCTTCACCTGTCTAAGAGAAGTCTAGATGATGGGCTAGATCTAGATCAAATATAAAACTGTTTGGTCGGCTGAATCTGGCCCAGGGCTGCAGATCGCCAGCTTCTCTTCTATATCAGGAGTCGACTTACTGGCCTCTGGTTTTTTGGAGAATAGCCACGTTTGTTGGCAGTATCTGTGGCTGCCTTAGTGCTTTAACAGTGCAGCAGAGACTGTGGCCCACAGAGGCTAAAGTGCTTAGTATTTGGCCCTCCAGGACAAAGTTTGCTGATCCTTGATCTATGTAAGTAGTACTTAGAAAGTCAGAGAGCATTCTCAGTAGAGGTCCAGGGCCTTTGTCTTCAAGCTCTGTCAGCTTGAAGTCTGAAACCTGTGTGTAGTGATTGATACGTCTTGGTTGACATAGGATGAGTCATTTAACTTTTCTGCCAGTTTTTTCATTTCAGCTGCAAAACAGATAGTACCCATTTTGCAGGATTCCTGCAGGATTATATGAGATGATATATATAGGCATGCCTCGTTTTATTGTTCCTTGCTTCATTGTGTTTTGCAGATACTGTGTGTTTTTTTTTTTTACAAAATGAAGGTTTGTGGCAGTTCTGCATGGAACATGTCTATTGGTGCCGTTTTTCCAACAGCATTTGTCCATTTCATGTGTCTGTGTCACATTTTGGTAATTCTCGGCAGAATTTCAAACTGTTTCATTATTGTCATGTTTGTTATGATCTGTGATCTTTCATGTTGTAATTGCAAAAAAGATTATGACTCACTGAAGGCTCAGATGATGGTTAGCATTTTCTAGCAATTAAATATTCTTTAAGGTATATATGGTGTTGTTTTAGACTTAATGTTGTTTCACACTGTATGTTGTTGGTGTTCAGTTGCCCAGTTGTGTCCGACTCTCTGTGGCCCCCTGGACTGCAGCATGCCAGGCCTCCCCATCCCTCACCATCTCCTAGAGTTTGCCTAAGTTCATGTTCATTGCATCGGTAATGCCATCCAGCCATCTCATCCTCTGACCCCTCTTCTCTTTCTGCCCTCGGTCTTTCCCAGCATCGGGGACTTTTCCAGTAAGTCGTCTCTGTACGTCAGACGACCAAGATACTGGAGCTTCAGCTTCAGCATCAGTCTTTCCAGTGAATATTCAGGGTTGGTCTCCATTAAAATTGACTGGTTTGATTCCCTTGCTGTCCAAGGGACTTTCAGAAGTCTTCTCCAGCACCACAGTTTGAAGGCATCAATTCTTTGGCATTCTGCCTTCTTTACAGTCCAGGTTTCTCAACCGTATGTGACACTGAATAGACTACAGTATAGTGCAAATGTAACTTTTCTATGCACTGGGAAAACAGAAAATTCATTTGATTCACTTTATTGTGACACTTGCTTTATTGTGGGGGTCTGGAACTGAATCTGCCATGTCTCCAAGGCCTGCCCGTATTAAGGGTCTGGCAGATAGGGCTCAGTCAGTAAAGAATCTGCCTGTAATGCAGGAGACCTGGGTTTGATCCCTGGGTGGGGAAGATCCCCTGGAAAAGGATATGGCTGCCCACTCCAGTATTCTTGCCTGGAGAATCCCATGGACAGAGGAGCCTGGTGAGCTCTAGTCCATAGGGTTGCAAAAAGTCAGACATGACTGAGCAACTAACGCTTTCATGTAGAATGTAATCAGTTTTTTTCAAAAAGTGTCAGAAGTAAATATGGCAGACTTTTAGGTTTCCGTAGCTAGTTTGGCTTCTTTCATTTTCAAGGTAAGCCATTGCCTGGAGAGAGATCTTTTAGGGGCCGATAGCCCCAGTCTAGTGCTTGTATGGTTCATTAATTCACCCTAGTCCTGCGTGAGACTTTTAACATCACTTTTAGGCTCTCATGCCTTGCTGTTTTTAATTTTCTCTGTGTGTAGAAATTGCGTGCCTGTCAGCTGTAACATTTGGGCTTCTCAGGGACTACTTCTAGTCCTGCCTGGACATCCTCAGGGCAGTGGAGGGGGGAGGGTCTGTGTGTGCGTGTGGTGCAAGACACTGCCTCTCCCATCAGTAATGCAGAGGATTCCCGGGCAGTGAGAAGTGACTGTCCCCTCGTGTCTGCTCTAGGCTTGGGCACTATTGCCCATGAGACACCCCTCATCACCTCACCCCTCATCTTCTCTTCATCTCTGCTGTGCAGCCCCCCAGGTCTATATTTTTTTTAAAATTCCCTTTTCTGCTTCCCACAATTAATGCCAAAGTGAGAAATTGTGGAGTTTGTGGCAGGGAGGAGGGACCTGTGATCATGACAGCTTCTTATAGGAAAGTTGCTCTTCCTTCGCAGGGAGGATGGTTGGAGTTGTTTTTCCTATCAAGTAGCTGTGGTTTTTTTTTTTTTTGTTTTTTTTCCTATTCTTTACAGATGGTACTCAGAGAAACTAGTTACAGCCTAACATGTGTTGTTTTCAGATATAAATGAAAAGATAAAACTTCACAGCCGAGCACGTGCTTGTGTAGAGTAGAAATCCCTCAGCCCTGTGCAGAGCATCCTGCAACTTCCAGATTAGACTGGGGAGGAAGCACGCTCGGGTGATGCCAGTCGCATGCCGTTGGAGAAGGCACTGAAGTCCTCTCTGTGTGGCTCTCCATTTCACAAAGAAAATTCCCCTAACGCTGAGCTACTGAAATACTTAGAAGCTTTTACTTGTACAAGGGCAGTAGGGGAGAAAAGATGACAAGATTCACGGGACGTATTTAAGGGGATAGTAACCGAGTAACCGGAGAGAACACACTGGTTTTACAATTTTTATGAAGGTATAATCTCTCCAGTATGATGCCATCAGGAGACTCTGTTGATTACACACATCATACATATTGCACTGAGTTATTTAAATAGAATTCTCTCTTTGGGTAAAGGTGACCTTGGAATGAACCGTGACATCGCAGCACCATAGACTGAAAGTCCATTTTGCAGTGGCTTAGCTCAGGTGTACACAGCAGAGCTTGGACAGGAAATGTGAGTGTGACATATGTGCTCACACTGTGATCAGACTCTCGGCAGTGTTGCCAACAATGACCAGCCTGTAAAAGCAGGCCCTAGAGAAAGGTTTGTGCATGAGTGGAAAAAATCCTCATAGTGTATAGTAGAAACCACAGCATTTGGGGGTGCAGGGGGAAGATTCATTTTTTGTTTTCAATTACTTCAGGGTAGTGCAGCTTTTGGTTTTGCATGACCCTGGTGTTTGTATTTATTCTGTATGTGATTTTAAAAGAAAACTCCCTGGGCTAATTGTTATTCCTTCTTACATTTTATGTACATTATCATTTTGAAGCAAATACTGCACAGATTACCTGCATGGTCAGTCAGCGCAGTTAATGGAGGTCACAGACATGCATGTCCACCTGGTGGTATAGCTCGTACGATGTACTCAGTGAAGGAGAGAGAAAAAGGAGGGTCGAAGAAACATGTGGCCAAACCAGCCACAGGGCTGTTCTTTGTGTGATATGCTTTCATTCGGGACCAGAGCTCTTGAATGGTGGTGGGGGGAGGGAGGGAGGGAGTGTCCTGTTTTGCTGACATACACGGAACATAGCTACTATATAGTCTTTACCCAGTCCTGACTACAGCTTTGGGAGAAAAATTCATCTGTATAGGAAATACAATTTTGAAAATCAGATCCTGGAAAAACTTTCTCTTCCAGTCTGTGATACACATAAAAATTAAGTTTTGGATAGGTTTATCATAGCTGCGGTTGACTGATCTTTTTCCTCTTTTTATTATGAATGACATGACCACTATGTAATATTGGTCAGAACATCTGTGTGCATGTCTTTAAAAAGAAATGGAAATCCTGAGCATTAGAAATTACATTAATAACAAAGGTTTGGTGATAAGTGATTTATATGAAGAGAATCTTGTCTATATTTATGATCAGTAATATGTTTCATTTTAAACCAAAGGGAAGAAATAGGAAAATTTAATCTGTCAATAAATATTTATGTGATGTGCAATGCCAGGCGGTACTGTTTGAATCCAGAGAAGTTCCAGACACAGGCACTGTCCCTGGAAAGTTTGCAGTCAGGCTGGAAAGCTGAGACACGGAGCTCTGAAAGGTCAGATACCCCAAGATGTTATCACAGTGATCAGGGAAAAGGTGAACGTTTCCGTCTGCACCGTGATATCCTGGCTGAGATACCCAGGGATTCTTCCTGGGAGAGGTGGAAACTGGGTTGGGCTTTGAGGGATGGCTGCTTTTGT